TTGTGGCAGGACATTGAACAGTAGAGGCAGAAGTGTCTCTTGCTGTAAACTCGCCCCCCATTTTTCTTCTTTTGCAGCTGCATGATAACAATCTTATTTGCCTTTGGTTCCTCACTTTCCGAGTCTTGAAGAAAAGTGTTTTTGATTTTTCTTTTTCCATACTTTTTTACAGGTTTCTTCTTGACAGTTAAATCGTCAGAATCTGAGTCGACTTCATCAATTAGGGACTCTTGACTAAGCTGCACAAACAACAAATAATTTGTAATCATTCTATATAACAATTTGAAGTCATGACTTGTAGTCAGCACTTACCAGTGGTTTGTAAGCGTGCGCTTCAGTGTGCTGCTCTGTGATTGGCTGCAGCCTAATGAACCACACACTTGCACCGTTTCTAGCCTGACACCTGATTTCCTCTGTTGTGCTGCTCCATGATTGGCTCCAGCCTCTGTTGTGCTGCTCCATGATTGGCTCCAGCCTCTGTTGTGCTGTCCATGATTGGCTCCAGCCTCTGTTGTGCTGCTCCATGATTGGCTCCAGCCTCTGTTGTGCTGCTCCATGATTGGCTCCAGCCTGCTGGACTGAAATTGCCCCAGTGTGCCCCTCCTTGATATCCCGCAACCCACCACCAGGGTTCCGACACATAACACACTTTTTTCAGGAAAGTAAACCTCCAGGGGTCCTTTCCATATTTTTACAGAGACTGCATAAGGACCGTTAGAAAAGCATTACCCATTGATTATTAAGCTTGGACCAGTGGGGTCCGGTGTTCGGGCCCCACCACGTAAAACCAGTCCCCATGACGTGAGTGGAATCTCAGGTTATGGAACCCACCAGGAGTTGAAAACAAGTGCACACACACACACACACACACACACATGCACACACGTGCACACACACGCACACAGACACACACACACACACAGACACACACACACACACACAGACACACACACACACACTCTCTCTCTCCTGGTTATCGTCAGTGAAATGGGACCAGACCCTGTTAAAGTAGTTCTAGAATGTAAAATGCTGCTATCCAGGATATATAACTACAATATGTGTTTATAATGTTTCGGGTGTTCATTTTGACATGTTCAGATGAATTATGTTAAAAAAACGGCTTTGAAGTGGCACCTTTTAACAAACTTAGGAGGCAAAGGAGAATAGGAGAAGGACCTCTCACAGCAGCAGCAGCAGTCTGGGCTGAATCTGTAGGAGGTTTCACTGTCATCTGAACAAGGTATACACATATTTACATCAGTTTTGTACATAATAGTGTGCAACTCTTTTAACCTTTTAGCCTTATTTGTGAGATTCAAACTAATTAGTGTTGGGCAAGTTAGCTAACTCTACTTGATATCATAAAACATGCCAACAAGGCTAATATTCGTTTTTACATTATGCCAGTCTCACTTTGCCTTAGATTTATTTACCACAATGTACATTGTAATATCCATAAATGCTAACACCTATTAACGGTTTAATTAGCATTTTTATCAATGATTGCATCACATGTAGTCTATGTTTTCAACTTCTGCAGCTTTTTGTTCATAAAAGTAAAATATTAATTTTATTAAAGTTATTTTGATTAGCATTTATGGATATTACAATGTACATTGTGGTAAATAAATCTAAGGAAACCAAAGTGAGACTGGCATAATGTAAAAACTAATATTAGCCTTGTTAGCATGTTTTATGATATTGTTGTATATTTTAAATATACACTAAACAGATGTGACAATATTTGACCATTTGAACATCATAGCCAAAAAAGACCTGTGCCCTCAGGTCTTAAGTCACAAGGACACAGGATAAGCAGACAGGAATCATAAAAAGATATCGCCTTTGAACAAGGCGAATTATTAACTTTAGATAAGAAACATTCTTGTCTCTCTTCTGTCAAGAGCAAAGTCCATCACAAACCAGGCAGAAAGGGGATTCACCAACGGCATTCTGACGCCTCCCAGTGGACACGGGACGCCAGCACACCCGGATGGAAAACCCTTGGGCGCATATGAATGACGTCATCGGAAGTCTCCTACATTTAACCTCCCTGTAGGTCTTTGGCCACAGTCAGCACAGGGCCAGCGAGGGACATGGACAGCATAGCATAGTTTAGGAGCTCTTTTTGTTGAATTTCTGTATCTGATTGTAAAGATAAATTAAATACAGATGTTAAACTTGGATTATCTTCGTCTTACTTCTGCATCAACCCAGACACGTCCGTCAAAGGGTATTTTTGACAACAATATCAAGTAGAGTTAGCTAACTTGCCCAACACTAGTTAGTTTGAATCTCACAAATAAGGCTAAAAGGTTAAAAGAGTTGCACACTATTATGTACAAAACTGATGTAAATATGTGTATACCTTGTTCAGATGACAGTGAAACCTCCTACAGATTCAGCCCAGACTGCTGCTGCTGCTGTGAGAGGTCCTTCTCCTATTCTCCTTTGCCTCCTAAGTTTGTTAAAAGGTGCCACTTCAAAGCCGTTTTTTTAACATAATTCATCTGAACATGTCAAAATGAACACCCGAAACATTATAAACACATATTGTAGTTATATATCCTGGATAGCAGCATTTTACATTCTAGAACTACTTTAACAGGGTCTGGTCCCATTTCACTGACGATAACCAGGAGAGAGAGAGTGTGTGTGTGTGTGTCTGTGTGTGTGTGTGTGTCTGTGTGTGTGTGTGTGTCTGTGTGCGTGTGTGTGCACGTGTGTGCATGTGTGTGTGTGTGTGTGTGTGTGTGCACTTGTTTTCAACTCCTGGTGGGTTCCATAACCTGAGATTCCACTCACGTCATGGGGACTGGTTTTACGTGGTGGGGCCCGAACACCGGACCCCACTGGTCCAAGCTTAATAATCAATGGGTAATGCTTTTCTAACGGTCCTTATGCAGTCTCTGTAAAAATATGGAAAGGACCCCTGGAGGTTTACTTTCCTGAAAAAAGTGTGTTATGTGTCGGAACCCTGGTGGTGGGTTGCGGGATATATCAAGGAGGGGCACACTGGGGCAATTTTAGTCCAGCAGGCTGGAGCCAATCATGGAGCAGCACAACAGAGGAAATCAGGTGTCAGGTTAGAAAAAGGTGCAAGTGTGTGGTTCATTAGGCTGCAGCCAATCACAGAGCAGCACACTGAAGCGCACGCTTACAAACCACTGGTAAGTGCTGACTACAAGTCATGACTTCAAATTGTTATATAGAATGATTACAAATTATTTGTTGTTTGTGCAGCTTAGTCAAGAGTCCCTAATTGATGAAGTCGACTCAGATTCTGACGATTTAACTGTCAAGAAGAAACCTGTAAAAAAGTATGGAAAAAGAAAAATCAAAAACACTTTTCTTCAAGACTCGGAAAGTGAGGAACCAAAGGCAAATAAGATTGTTATCATGCAGCTGCAAAAGAAGAAAAATGGGGGGCGAGTTTACAGCAAGAGACACTTCTGCCTCTACTGTTCAATGTCCTGCCACAAAATGTCCCGTCATTTGACTAGAAAACATGGAAATGAAAGTGACGTAGCCAGAGCATTGGCTCTACCTGTGAAATCTAAAGCACGTAAACTTCAGTTTGATTTGATCAGGAATAGTGGAAACCGTGAGCACAATGTTGAGGTTTTAAAGGCCGGCATTGGAACTTTAGTCCCAGCTAAACAGCCAAATTGCCCAGTTAAATCCAGTGAGTTTTTGCACTGTATAGACTGTGGGGCATTGCTTAAGCGAAAGTCGCTGTGGAGGCATGTGGCCAGGTGCCGGCTTTCACAGAAAGATGCCCAGGCTAAACCAGGCTAAACCAGGCTAAACCAGGTAGAAGTAGGGTCCAGTCCCTCTGCTCCCTAGCCCAGCCTGTACCGGAGGGCATCAGCAAAAAGCTGTGGTCTTTAATTTGGGCAATGCATCAGGATGAGGTCACGGGTGTTGTCAAAGCAGAAAAGGGGATTCTGAGACTCGGAGAGCACCTGTACTTAAAACACGGGCATGATAAGACTAAGCATGATTACATTAGGCAGAAAATGAGAGAAGTCGGTAGGTTAATTAACGAAGCAAAAACCGCAGGGAAACTGAAAACAATGAAGGATTTCTTTATTCCTTCCAACTTTAACCATGTGATTGATGCAGTCAGGTCTGTGGCTGGATATGATGAGGAAACAAATCAATACAAGACTCCATCCTTGGCCCTCAAACTCGGCCATAGCCTCAGAAAGCTAGCAGATATTCTTGAATGTGACTCAAAAATGGAGCATTGTGTTGATGAACTATTTATTAAAAACCTCCAACGAAGCCGGCTGCTTTTTGAGAAGAGGTGGGACGTCTGTGTTTCTTCTGCTGCCCTACAGACCCTCCGGCAAGCCAAGTGGAACACTCCGGACCTGCTCCCTCTGACTGAGGACGTTAGAGCCATGCATGCACATATTGAGGTATGTCGACCTGAATATGTGCAAACCCTAATAAGTGAGCCAACGTCTAAGCATTGGTCTAAACTGGCAGTTTCTTGGAGCTGGCCAAAATCAGCAAAGTGTTGATGGCCATGGAGCAGGGAAGAGTGACGGAATTCGAAGGAAAGAGCCTCGACCAGATACAAATTGAGCCTGAAGGTAATTCTTGATATTATTAAAATATGTATGATTTTTTTCCCCTAAAGGCCACTTGTATTTTTATTTTCTGTGCGACAGGGAGAGCAGTAGAGATCCTCTCACAAACGGACGGGCTAAAAGAAACTTCAAGCGGAGAACCTTCAACCATTCATCCAGATGCACCCCATGGTAGTGGCAGTGCCCCTTCTGGTAAGTGTACCAGGTGGGGGATTACAGCCAGGCTGCTTGGTCCTCACCCTGGGAGTGTATATTGCTAATATATTTTTATTTCTCTCCCTAGAACGTTAGAGAAAGCCATGGTCTGCATCTCAGGTGAAGGCTGTGGAGAAGACCATGACACCTTTCATACAGACTGGAAAGGTCCCTGGGAAGTCTCACTGCCTGGCCTGCATTAATGCCTCACCAGATGACCTTAGACATCGGACATGGAGTGGCATTAAATTCTATCAAAAATAGAATCACTACAATTCGAAAAAAGAGTTGTTTGTTTTCTATTGACTGTTTTGTATTACTTAAAGTAGTCCCAGTAAAAAAAGATTATGTCTATGGGTCCCATTCTGAACGGCCCTGTCAAAGGGACCCACCAGGTAACACAAGTGTGTGTGTAGATGTGTGTGTGTGTGGGTGTGTGTAGGTGTATGTATGTAGAGTCTCTCTGGTCTTACCCCATGGCTCAGCTGGTAGGTCTGGCAGTACTTCCAGATCTGGTTCAGGACCAGGTCTTCGGTCTCTGGGTCTGGGATCTCTCCGTGGAAGTCCAGCCCCATGAGAGCCGCCATCCTGGGCATGAGGCCCGGCACCCGCCTCAGCTGCTGCCGGGCGTCTGGGACATGGAACGTCCAGGCATGGTCCACCAGGAAGACACTGAGACAGACCCGGTTTAGACCAGGTTTAGACCTGCTTTAGACCTGCTTTAGACCTGCTTTAGACCTGCTTTAGTCCTGCTTTAGTCCTGCTTTAGACCTGCTTTAGACCTGCTTTAGTCCTGCTTTAGACCTGCTTTAGACCTGCTTTAGACCTGCTTTAGTCCTGCTTTAGACCCGCTTGAGACCCGCTTTGGACCCGCTTTGGACCCGCTTTACACCCGCTTTAGACCCGCTTTAGTCTTGGACATGAACATAACAGGTGAATCTGACAAAACCTGTCTAAACCACAGACCTGTTTGGGTCAGAGACCTGCAGTCCGCTCTCTCGAGTCACCACGACTTTGGAACCAACCACTCGACCGTCTTCATCCTGAGTCTGAACGATACCGAACACCTCCCCCGCATCGAACACCTGCCACAGAGACCACCACAGTCTCAGTCCTGGGTCTACAGCCTCGGTCCTGGGTCTACAGCCTCAGTCCTGGGTCTACAGCCTCAGTCCTGGGTCTACAGCCTCAGTCCTGGGTCTACAGCCTCGGTCCTGGGTCTACAGCCTTAGTCCTGGGTCTACAGCCTCGGTCCTGGGTCTACAGCCTCAGTCCTGGGTCTACAGCCTCAGTCCTGGGTCTACAGCCTCAGTCCTGGGTCTACAGCCTCGGCCCTGGGTCTACAGCCTCAGTCCTGGGTCTACAGCCTCAGTCCTGGGTCTACAGCCTCAGTCCTGGGTCTACAGCCTCGGTCCTGGGTCTACAGCCTCGGCCCTGGGTCTACAGCCTCAGTCCTGGGTCTACAGCCTCAGTCCTGGGTCTACAGCCTCAGTCCTGGGTCTACAGCCTCGGTCCTGGGTCTACAGCCTCGGTCCTGGGTCTACAGCCTCGGCCCTGGGTCTACAGCCTCAGTCCTGGGTCTACAGCCTCAGTCCTGGGTCTACAGCCTTAGTCCTGGGTCTACAGCCTCGGTCCTGGGTCTACAGCCTCAGTCCTGGGTCTACAGCCTTAGTCCAATATAATTAAAAAGCGGTTTGTGGACAGGCTAATGCTAACGGCTGAATGCTAACTGACAGTAGTGTGTTGCCATGGTAACTAGCACAGTTAAAGGTAGAACTACTCTGTTATAGAATAATAAAGACATATACTACATAAACACGTCACATGGTTAGACCAGACATGAGCTGAGGATATACACAGGGCAGCCGTCAAACTGATTGCTGTGGGGGATTAAACTGTGAAGATGATGATGATGAGGAGGAAGATGATGGTGAAGATGAAGATGCCTCACCTCCTCACTGATCTTCTGCAGCAGGTTCCTCCAGTAGATCCGTGGGAGCCCCGCCGCCTGCAGCGCAGCGGAGTACAGAGCCTCAAACTCTGGGTAAGCCTCCTCCTGCTCATGGTCCTGCTCATGGTCCTGCTCATGGTCCTGCTCATGGTCCTGCTCATGGTCCTGCTCTTCCTCCTGCTCCTGGTCCTGGTTCCGCTCCTCCTCCCGCTCCTCCCGGTGCTCCGTGCCCGGGTGGAGTAGGTTTGTTGTTGTGGACATGATTCACTGAGAAACACGTGGAAGAAACCAGGAAGTGTTCTAGTGCGAGGGGGAGGGGCCTGGCTGCATCCAAATACACACTAATCCTCCTCCTACCCCTCTTGACCTCCTTCTCTTACTGCTCCTCCTCCTCCTCTCTCCCCTCATCCTCTACCTCCTCCCTCCCCCATGTCCCCGTCCTCCTCCTCCTCCTGTCTCCCCCCTCCCTCTCCTCCTCCTGCCCCTCCGGCACCTCCTCCCTAGCCCCCTCCTCCTCCTCCTCTTCCTCCCTGGCTCCAGTTGTGTTGCTAAACCATAAATAGTCCATTGCAGTATGGAAGACTATTGGCACCTTAATTCAATTGTCTATTAATTTGTCAAATGGCTATGCATTATGTTATTTTAGTATTTATTTTGATTTGTATTTGTCAAAGTGTAATGTTATATCCAATTTTGACATTTAATGTTCTATTCCAAAAGTTCTAACGGCAATTCAATATGTAAAGTGTCGATACAATGTCTTTATATATTGCAAATTACAAGATTTTGAAATGAATAGCATATTGACATGGAAATTTGGCCTCTTTATTCATTGTTCTATTCATTCTTAACATGGCATTTAGTTTAGAGTTGTATTTGGCAAAGTGTAATGTTATATCCTATTTTGACTTGTATTCCACATTTGAGTATGTTAAGTTTCATTTAATGTGTTGTGAAACAGCACCTCCCTCTGGATTGCATATTGCATATTGCATATTGCATTGCCACATGGTTTGAGTGCAACTTAATTCAATATAGGGCTGGAAAGCGGAAGTGCGAGATTTTGCGAGATTTCCACCCGTGGATACAAACAAACCACACGTGCCAGTTGTATGGTGCGGAGATCGCCGACTTCTTCCTCCTTAAAGGACTTTCCTGTGTTATTTTGGACGTCTCTGGGACAGAAAAACTGAGTGAGCGGTCGGAGTTAGCGGTGAACTGACCATGTGCTGACGTTTCTATGACTCTGACCATGTGCTGAAGTTTATATGACTCTGACCATGTGCTGACGTTTATATGACTCTGACCATGTGCTGACGTTTATATGACTCTGACCATGTGCTGACGTTTCTATGACTCTGACCATGTGCTGACGTTTCTATGACTCTGACCATGTGCTGAAGTTTATATGACTCTGACCATGTGCTGACGTTTATATGACTCTGACCATGTGCTGACGTTTATATGACTCTGACCATGTGCTGACGTTTCTATGACTCTGACCATGTCCTGACGTTTATATGACTCTGACCATGTGCTGAAGTTTATATGACTCTGACCATGTCCTGAAGTTTATATGACTCTGACCATGTGCTGAAGTTTATATGACTCTGGCCATGTGCTGAAGTTTTTATGACTCTGACCATGTGCTGAAGTTTTTATGACTCTGGCCATGTGCTGACGTTTATATGACTCTGACCATGTGCTGACGTTTATATGACTCTGACCATGTGCTGACGTTTCTATGACTCTGACCATGTGCTGACGTTTATATGACTCTGACCATGTGCTGACACAGAGACCAGAGGCAAAGGCAGAAGACCAGAGACCAGAGGGCAGAGACCAGAGGCCTAGACCAGAGGCAGAAGACAGAGGCCAGAGGCAGACCAGACAGAGGCCAGAGACCAGGCCAGAGGCCAGAGGGCCAGAGGCAGAAGACCAGAGGCCAGAGGCAGAGACCAGAGGCCAGAGAAGACCAGAGGCAGAGGCCAGAGGGCAGAAGACCAGAGGCATCAGAGGCAAGAGCAGAGACCAGAGGCCAGAGGGCAGAGACCAGAGGCCAGAGGGAGAGACCAGAGGCCAGAGGGCAGAGACCAGAGGCCAGAGGCAGAAGACCAGAGGCCAGAGGGCAGAGACCAGAGGCCAGAGGCAGAGACCAGAGGCCAGAGGCAGAGACCAGAGGCAGAGCCAGAGCCAGAGGCCAGAGGCAGAGACCAGAGGCCAGAGGCAGAAGACCAGAGGCCAGAGGCAGAGACCAGAGCCAGACCAGAGACCAGAGGCAGGGCAGAGACCAGAGACCAGAGGCCAGAGGCAGAAGACCAGAGACCAGAGGCCAGAGGCAGAAGACCAGAGGCCAGAGGCAGAAGACCAGAGACCAGAGGCAGAGACCAGAGACCAGAGGCAGAGCAGACCAGAGACCAGAGGCCAGAGGCAGAGACCAGAGGCCAGAGGCAGAAGACCAGAGGCCAGAGCAGGGCAGAGACCAGAGGCCAGAGGCAGAAGACCAGAGGCCAGAGGCCAGAGACCAGAGACCAGAGGCAGAGGCAGAAGACCAGAGACCAGAGGCCAGAGGCAGAGACCAGAGGCCAGAGGCAGAAGACCAGAGACCAGAGGCAGAAGACCAGAGACCAGAGGCAGAGGCAGAAGACCAGAGACCAGAGGCAGAGAGACCAGAGACCAGAGGCCAGAGGCAGAAGACCAGAGACCAGAGGCCAGAGGCAGAAGACCAGAGGCCAGAGCAGAGCCAGAGGCCAGAGGCCAGAGGCAGAGACCAGAGACCAGAGGCCAGAGGCAGAAGACCAGAGGCCAGAGGCCAGAGGCAGAAGACAGAGGCCAGAGGCAGAGACAGAGCAGAGGCCAGAGGCAGAGGCCAGAGGCCAGAGCAGAGACCAGAGACCAGAGGCCAGAGGCAGAAGACCAGAGACCAGAGGCCAGAGGCAGAGACCAGAGCCAGAGGCAGAGCAGAGACCAGAGGCAGAGAGCCAGAGAGCAGAGGCAGAGACCAGAGGCAGAGCCAGAGGCAGAGGCAGAAGACCAGAGGCCAGAGGCAGAGGCAGAGGCAGAAGACCAGAGGCCAGAGGGAAGACCAGAGGCCAGAGGCAGAGGCAGAAGACCAGAGGCCAGAGGCAGAGGCAGAAGACCAGAGGCCAGAGGCAGAAGACCCAGAGCCAGAGGCCAGAGGCAGAAGACCAGAGACCAGAGGGCCAGAGCAGAGACAGAGCCAGAGGCCAGAGAGACCAGAGACCAGAGCAGAAGAAGACCAGAGGCCAGAGGCAGAAGACCAGAGACCAGAGGCAGAAGACCAGAGGCCAGAGGCAGAGGCAGAAGACCAGAGACCAGAGGCCAGAGGCAGAGGCAGAAGACCAGAGGCCAGAGGCAGAAGACCAGAGGCCAGAGGCAGAAGACCAGAGACCAGAGGCAGAGACCAGAGGCCAGAGGCAGAAGACCAGAGGCCAGAGGCCAGAGACCAGAGACCAGAGACCAGAGACCAGAGACCAGAGACCAGAGACCAGAGACCAGAGACCAGAGACCAGAGACCAGAGACCAGAGACCAGAGGCCAGAGACCAGAGGCAGAGTCCAGAGTCCAGAGGGCAGAGGCAGAGGCAGAGGCAGAAGACCAGAGGCAGAGACCAGAGGCCAGAGACCAGAGGCAGAAGACCAGAGGCAGAGGCAGAAGACCAGAGGCAGAGGCAGAAGACCAGAGGGGAGCTTTCTCCTGATGGGTCGATGCTCATGAATATCTCCAAAAAGTTCAACAGGCGTTGGAAATGCAAAAAACTGCACCGTGCCGTCCCGCGCTGTGCCTATGGGCAGTGTGTGTAAAGTTGTTGGTCCACACCTGACATGTGTGTTACAGAAAACTGCCTCTAGACTCTGTGAACAGGGATGTCCAAACCAAGGCCCGAGGGCCACATGCGGCCCACTGTGTCCTTTTATTTGGCCCTCTGCCTCGCCAACACAAAGTGAACAATGAGGCGCTGTAAGCATCATCAAGATCCAGCCAACTTAAGCTCCACCAGTGTCGTCATGCTGTGTTGTGAAGATGAGAACCTTTGGAATCAACTCGTTAACTGTATTTGTATTTACTGACTTTTGTTTGTGATTATGTCGCAACATCCTGTATACGTGTTTAAGCAGCAGTCATCATTAAAGGGCCCTAATCTGTCATCATGAAAGGGCCCTAATCTGTCATCATCAAAGGGCCCTAATCTGTCATCAATAAAGGGCCCTAATCTGTCATCAATAAAGGGCCCTAATCTGTCATCATGAAAGGGCCCTAATCTGTCATCATGAAAGGGCCCTAATCTGTCATCATTAAAGGGCCCTAATCTGTCATCATTAAAGGGCCCTAATCTGTCATCATGAAAGGGCCCTAATCTGTCATCATGAAAGGGCCCTAATCTGTCATCATTAAAAGGCCCTAATCTGTCGTCATTAAAGGGCCCTAATCTGTCATCATTAAAGGGCCCTAATCTGTCATAATTAAAGGGCCCTAATCTGTCATCATTAAAGGGCCCTAATCTGTCATCATTAAAGTGCCCTAATCTGTCATCATTAAAGGGCCCTAATCTGTCATCATTAAAGGCCCCTAATCTGTCCTCATTAAAGGGCCCTAATCTATCACCATTAAAGGGCCTTAATCTGTCATAATTAAAGGCCCTAATCTGTCATCATTAAAAGGCCCTAACCTGTCATAACTAAAGGGCCCTAATCTGCCATAATTAAAGGCCCTAATCTGTCATCATTAAAAGGCCCTAATCTGTCATCATTAAAGGGTCCTAATCTGTCATCATGAAAGGGCCCTAATCTGTCATCATTAAAAGGCCCTAATCTGTCATCATTAAAAGGCCCTAATCTGTCGTCTTTAAAGGGCCCTAATCTGTCATCATTAAAGGGCCCTAATCTGTCATCATTAAAGGGCCCTAATCTGCCATCATTAAAAGGCCCTAATCTGTCGTCTTTAAAGGGTCCTAATCTGTCATCATGAAAGGGCCCTAATCTGTCATCATTAAAAGGCCCTAATCTGTCATCATTAAAAGGCCCTAATCTGTCGTCTTTAAAGGGCCCTAATCTGTCATCATTAAAGGGCCCTAATCTGTCATCATTAAAGGGCCCTAATCTGTCATCATTAAAAGGCCCTAATCTGTCGTCTTTAAAGGGCCCTAATCTGTCATCATTAAAGGGACCTAATCTGTCATCATTAAAGGGCCCTAATAGATAAGAGTTTAATGGTAGAATCAGAACACATTAAGTCAAATTCAGGCTCAGTGCTTTCAGTCTGGTTCAGCTCCGAGGATGAGGACGGTCAGAATGACAGAACACACTGAGCACAGAGCTCTTATGGATGCACTGGGGCAGGATGTCATACATGTAATTCAATAATCTTGTAGACCAGTCCTGGTTAATCTGAGTCTGTCTCCCTGAGGGTCTCTCTACAGGCTCTTATGGTCCTTCCAGATGTCCTCAGCCCCATGGTCCTTCCAGATGTCCTCAGCCCCATGGTCCTTCCAGATGTCCACAGCCCCATGGTCCATATGAAGATACATTTATATAATATCAGTTATAATAACAGACACAATAACACCATAAACACATCATCACATCCAGAGTTTACCCACATCTGTCTTTCAGTCCAACTCTGTCCTTCAGTCCAACTCTGTCCTTCAGTCCAACTCTCTGTCCTTCAGTCTCTGTCCTTCAGTCCAACTCTCTGTCCTTCAGTCTCTGTCCTTCAGTCCAACTCTCTGTCCTTCAGTCTCTGTCCTTCAGTCCAACTCTCTGTCCTTCAGTCCAACTCTGTCCTTCAGTCCAACTCTCTGTCCTTCAGTCTCTGTCCTTCAGTCCAACTCTCTGTCCTTCAGTCCAACTCTGTCCTTCAGTCCAACTCTCTGTCCTTCAGTCCAACTCTCTGTCCTTCAGTCTCTGTCCTTCAGTCCAACTCTCTGTCCTTCAGTCCAACTCTCTGTCCTTCAGTCCAACTCTGTCCTTCAGTCCAACTCTCTGTCCTTCAGTCCAACTCTCTGTCCTTCAGTCCAACTCTGTCCTTCAGTCCAACTCTCTGTCCTTCAGTCCAACTCTCTGTCCTTCAGTCCAACTCTCTGTCCTTCAGTCTCTGTCCTTCAGTCCAACTCTCTGTCCTTCAGTCTCTGTCCTTCAGTCCAACTCTGTCCTTCAGTCCAACTCTCTGTCCTTCAGTCCAACTCTGTCCTTCAGTCCAACTCTCTGTCCTTCAGTCCAACTCTCTGTCCTTCAGTCCAACTCTCTGTCCTTCAGTCTCTGTCCTTCAGTCCAACTCTCTGTCCTTCAGTGTCTGTCCTTCAGTCCAACTCTGTCCTTCAGTCCAACTCTCTGTCCTTCAGTCCAACTCTCTGTCCTTCAGTCCAACTCTGTCCTTCAGTCCAACTCTCTGTCCTTCAGTCCAACTCTCTGTCCTTCAGTCCAACTCTCTGTCCTTCAGTCCAACTCTGTCCTTCAGTCCAACTCTCTGTCCTTCAGTCCAACTCTCTGTCCTTCAGTCCAACTCTCTGTCCTTCAGTCCAACTCTCTGTCTTTCAGTCCAACTCTCTGTCCTTCAGTCCAACACTCTGTCTTTCAGTCCAACTCTCTGTCCTTCAGTCCAACTCTCTGTCTTTCAGTCCAACTCTCTGTCCTTCAGTCCAACTCTCTGTCTTTCAGTCCAACTCTCTGTCCTTCAGTCCAACACTCTGTCCTTCAGTCCAACTCTGTCCTTCAGTCCAACTCTCTGTCCTTCAGTCCAACTCTCTGTCCTTCAGTCCAACTCTCTGTCCTTCAGTCCAACTCTCTGTCTTTCAGTCCAACTCTCTGTCCTTCAGTCCAACTCTCTGTCCTTCAGTCCAACTCTATCCTTCAGTCCAACTCTCTGTCCTTCAGTCCAACTCTATCCTTCAGTCCAACTCTCTGTCCTTCAGTCCAACTCTCTGTGCTTCAGTCTCTGTCCTTCAGTCCACCTTCTGTCCTTCAGTCTCTGTCCTTCAGTCCAACTCTGTCCTTCAGTCCAACTCTGTCCTTCAGTCCAACTCTCTGTCCTTCAGTCCAACTCTCTGTCCTTCAGTCCAACTCTCTGTCCTTCAGTCCAACTCTGTCCTTCAGTCCAACTCTCTGTCCTTCAGTCCAACTCTCTGTCCTTCAGTCCAACTCTCTGTCCTTCAGTCCAACTCTGTCCTTCAGTCCAACTCTGTCCTTCAGTCCAACTCTGTCCTTCAGTCCAACTCTCTGTCTTTCAGTCCAACTCTCTGTCTTTCAGTCCAACTCTCTGTCCTTCAGTCCAACTCTATCCTTCAGTCCAACTCTCTGTCCTTCAGTCCAACTCTATCCTTCAGTCCAACTCTCTGTCCTTCAGTCCAACTCTCTGTCCTTCAGTCTCTGTCCTTCAGTCCAACTCTCTGTCCTTCAGTCTCTGTCCTTCAGTCCAACTCTGTCCTTCAGTCCAACTCTGTCCTTCAGTCCAACTCTCTGTCCTTCAGTCCAACTCTCTGTCCTTCAGTCCAACTCTCTGTCCTTCAGTCCAACTCTGTCCTTCAGTCCAACTCTCTGTCCTTCAGTCCAACTCTCTGTCCTTCAGTCCAACTCTCTGTCCTTCAGTCCAACTCTGTCCTTCAGTCCAACTCTGTCCTTCAGTCCAACTCTCTGTCCTTCAGTCCAACTCTCTGTCCTTCAGTCCAACTCTCTGTCCTTCACCAACTCTCTGTCCTTCAGTCCAACTCTATCCTTCAGTCCAACTCTCTGTCCTTCAGTCCAACTCTGTCCTTCAGTCCAACTCTCTGTCCTTCAGTCCAACTCTCTGTCCTTCAGTCCAACTCTCTGTCTTTCAGTCCAACTCTCTGTCTTTCAGTCCAACTCTCTGTCCTTCAGTCCAACTCTGTCCTTCAGTCCAACTCTCTGTCCTTCAGTCCAACTCTCTGTCCTTCAGTCCAACTCTCTGTCCTTCAGTCCAACTCTCTGTCTTTCAGTCCAACTCTCTGTCTTTCAGTCCAACTCTCTGTCTTTCAGTCCAACTCTCTGTCCTTCAGTCCAACTCTATCCTTCAGTCCAACTCTCTGTCCTTCAGTCCAACTCTATCCTTCAGTCCAACTCTCTGTCCTTCAGTCCAACTCTCTGTCCTTCAGTCTCTGTCCTTCAGTCCAACTCTCTGTCCTTCAGTCTCTGTCCTTCAGTCCAACTCTCTGTCCTTCAGTCCAACTCTCTGTCCTTCAGTCCAACTCTCTGTCCTTCAGTCCAACTCTGTCCTTCAGTCCAACTCTCTGTCCTTCAGTCCAACTCTCTGTCCTTCAGTCCAACTCTGTCCTTCAGTCCAACTCTCTGTCCTTCAGTCCAACTCTCTGTCCTTCAGTCCAACTCTCTGTCCTTCAGTCCAACTCTCTGTCCTTCAGTCCAACTCTATCCTTCAGTCCAACTCTCTGTCCTTCAGTCCAACTCTCTGTCCTTCAGTCTCTGTCCTTCAGTCCAACTCTGTCCTTCAGTCCAACTCTCTGTCCTTCAGTCCAACTCTCTGTCCTTCAGTCCAACTCTCTGTCCTTCAGTCCAACTCTGTCCTTCAGTCCAACTCTCTGTCCTTCTGTCCAACCCTCTGTCCTTCAGTCCAACTCTCTGTCCTTCAGTCCAACTCTGTCCTTCAGTCCAACTCTCTGTCCTTCAGTCCAACTCTCTGTCCTTCAGTCCAACTCTGTCCTTCAGTCCAACTCTCTGTCCTTCAGTCCAACTCTCTGTCCTTCAGTCCAACTCTCTGTCCTTCAGTCCAACACTCTGTCTTTCAGTCCAACACTCTGTCTTTCAGTCCAACTCTCTGTCCTTCAGTCTGTCCTTCAGTCCAACTCTCTGTCCTTCAGTCCAACTCTCTGTCCTTCAGTCCAACTCTCTGTCCTTCAGTCCAACTCTCTGTCCTTCAGTCCAACACTCTGTCCTTCAGTCCAACACTCTGTCTTTCAGTCCAACTCTCTGTCTTTCAGTCCAACTCTCTGTCCTTCAGTCCAACTCTGTCCTTCAGTCCAACTCTCTGTCCTTCAGTCCAACTCTGTCCTTCAGTCCAACTCTCTGTCCTTCAGTCCAACTCTCTGTCCTTCAGTCCAACTCTGTCCTTCAGTCCAACTCTCTGTCCTTCAGTCCAACTCTGTCCTTCAGTCTCTGTCCTTCAGTCCAACTCTCTGTCCTTCAGTCCAACTCTGTCCTTCAGTCTCTGTCCTTCAGTCCAACTCTCTGTCCTTCAGTCCAACTCTGTCCTTCAGTCCAACTCTCTGTCCTTCAGTCCAACTCTGTCCTTCAGTCTCTGTCCTTCAGTCCAACTCTCTGTCCTTTAGTCCAACTCTCTTTCTGCAGTCCATTGTCAGTCCCTATGAATCATGGGTAATGAGTGACGATGATATAATGGTTCTGGTATTGAGGACCAGCAGTGGTCAGAGAACAGAGCGAACCAGGGGCCTCTGACAGGACCATCAATCTCTCTGCTGGTCCCTCTGACACCAGGAACACATGGAATGTAGCACACAGAGGAATGTCCCAGAGACAAGGGAAGTGCTCATGGTGAAGTTTGGCTCCTATTTACCTCCATGTAAAAGTATCTGCTCCAGCTCAGTAACCAGAACCTGTCCTGGGTCTACAGCCTCGGTCCTGGGTCTACAGCCTCAGAATTGACAGTTTTGTAAAGTCCTCTGAGAAAACTGCTGTTGTGATTTGGGGCGATACAAGAATAAAAATAATTGAATGAACCATTTGTGTGACATCACCAGTTTGGGCTTAAATCTGTGGTTTCTCTGTGATCCTGTGTTTGTATGTTGTCTTTGGTAATCCAGATATGACCTATGTACAACCCTGGGGACAGGAAAATTAAATTAGGATATAGGTGCAATTGCTGCTGCCTCTTTCCTGACAACCGCCTTAGCAACTGTCCTAGCAACCGCCTTAGCAACTGTCCTAGCAACCGCCTTAACAACCGCCTTATCCATGTGTGGAGTATGTTATCTCTGTGTCCTGAGCTCGAGTTGGTCATTGACGAACCAAAGAGACCAGAGAGAGACCAAAGAGAGACCAGAGAGAGACCAGAGAGAGACCAGAGAGAGACCAGTGAGAGAGACCATGAGAGACCAAAGAGAGACCAGAGAGAGAGACCATAGAAAGAGACCAGAGAGAGACCATAGAGAGACCAGAGAGAGACCAGAGAGAGAGACCAGAGAGAGACCAGAGAGAGAGACCAGAGAGAGACCATAGAAAGAGACCAGAGAGAGAGACCAGAGAGAGACCAGAGAGAGAGACCAGAGAGAGAGACCATAGAAAGAGACCAGAGAGAGAGACCAGAGAGAGACCAGAGAGAGAGACCATAGAGAGACCATAGAGAGAGACCAGAGAGAGAGACCATAGAAAGAGACCAGAGAGAGACCACAGAGAGAGACCACAGAGAGACCATAGAAAGAGACCAGAGAGAGAGACCATAGAGAGACCAGAGAGAGACCAGAGAGAGAGACCATAGAGAGACCAGGAGAGACCAGAGAGAGACCAGAGAGAGAGACCATAGAAAGAGACCAGAGAGAGACCATAGAGAGACCAGAGAGAGAGACCAGAGAGAGAGACCAGAGAGAGACCAGAGAGAGAGACCATAGAGAGACCAGGAGAGACCAGAGAGAGACCAGAGAGAGACCATATTAAATTGGGAGATGTCCTCATAATCATAATCATAACACTCAGAATAACTTAGATCTGGTTTCCCGCTCATATGTGATGTAGTTTTATAAAGTAGTCCAAGAATTGTGGGGGCGTGGCCTGGGGAGGATGGGGGCGTGGCCTGTGCTCTGGGGTATAAATAGCTCTTCGCGCCTCTCCTCGTTATTGCAGAAGATCCTCCCGGCCTGAGAGCACGCCCTGCCCGCGTCTCACTCCCACAGAGCCCCCTGGAGCTGGTGCGTCCTCCCCCCACCTCCCACACACCTCCCCCGGGGCCTCAGCTCTCCCGGGGCCTCAGCTCTCCCGGGACCTCAGCTCTCCCGGGGCCTCAGCTCTCCCGGGGCCTCAGCTCTCCCGGGGCCTCAGCTCTCCCGGGGCCTCAGCTCTCCCGGGGCCTCAGCTCTCCCGGGGCCTCAGCTCTCCCGGGGCCTCAGCTCTCCCGGGGCCTCAGCTCTCCCGGGGCCTCAGCTCTCCCGGGGCCTCAGCTCTCCCGGGACCCCCTCTGGACCCGTCCTGCGGTGAGTTTAGCTAACTGTCCGCGCACGTGTAGCTTCAGCTCGGTTCTGAAAACATTTATTCTTTAACTCGACGCAGTTGCGCCAACAAAGTGCTTTTTCAGACGTTTGAAGCCGTTGTTCGCTCCAGAGAGACACATGTACCACAACTTTATCTCTTTGTGAACATGTGACATCACCCGCTCCGCGTAAAGTGCCTGAAAAGGACGTGTTTAAGTGTAGTTAGTGCAGAAAGCTGCGGCTGTAAGGACTCATCTGAAGCTTTAGTAAAGGCAGCTGCTTTGGGTCAGGGTCACAACTTTCTACGGCTGATAACGCCCATTGTCTCAAGGTCCTGGTCTGGTCTGGCCTAGCCCTGGTCTAGTCTGGTCCTGGAATGGTTTTAGCACTTAAGTGAGTACATTAATAAAAGTAACTTTTTGGGGGGAATTTCTCAGAATTCAATTGATATCATAGAGAGAGACCAGACAGAGAGAGAGAGACCAGAGAATTATTCTTGCTGTTATTGAGTTTAGTGTGTTTACATAAAAACAGAAACGAGCTTAAATCTAAATCAAATCTGTAAAAGTACAAAGACCAGAAAAATGCATGTGAGATTCTGCGCCGTGAAGTGGCCTTTGTCTCCCCCTGCTGCTCAGACTGAGCACTGCAGACACACTGCTGCTCATCTGGGCAATACTCTTCTCACACTCACTCACGGAACCATCTTTTCTCTGGTTTGACGTCTGAGTGTAATCGACTTGGATTAAAACAACTCACACTGGACAGAAACAGAATGTGTGTAAATGGTGTAGGACTCGTCGTACAGACTGACATGATTCATGGTCAGTTAAACTGGTATCAGAGCGACACATGGTGCAGCTGGTTCAGGGCCTTTCTGTGTGGAGTTTGCATGTTCTCTCTGTGTCTCTGCAGGTTTCCTCCAGGTGCTTCGAGAGAGTGATGGTGAGTGTTCAGCGTCTTCATCACTGACAGTGAGACGTATTGTATAAAGATACTAACTTTAAATATTCATCAGAATAACTATAGTACATGACAGTCCCGCCCACCTGGTCCCAAGCCCCGCCCATGTGGTCCAGAGCCTTTAAAATGGCCGACAAAGAGCACGCCTCCTCTTTGATGGCACCAGGTGTTCGTTTGGAGAAAACAAACATGAATCTGAAATATTAGAGATAAAGATCTAACATGAAGACAAAGGTCAGATGAAGGTGAGAAACTGCTTTACTCTGAAGCTGCTGTCGATATCAGAGAAATGTAATAAAACAAATAGTCAACTTGGTGGTTTGCAGAGGAAGCTCTTTTATATGTTAAAGGATAATGTATCGTACACAGGTCATTATTGACAGGGCGAAGCGAGCCCCGACGCGCAAATGTTCCTAAAATGTCCCGGAGTCTACTTCCGGGTTTTTCGCAATCGCTTTTTCTCGCATTAAAACAGTATTTTTGTCATGAAAACCGTAACAGTAAATTCTGAAACCCTCCGTGCACGTGTGTTAAGAATGTATATGTCTATATATTCTCCCATTAACATTTAATTGCGTTTGATTGATTGGTATTTGCGTTTATTGAGCGTGGCTAGCTCAGGAGTGGCCGGAACTACTGTCGGAGCAATCTACACACATGAAGTACAAGCAGAGAGTGCGTTGCCAAAGGGCAGCAGCCATTATTGTTTTGAGAGATCCGTTATAAGAAACTTTAGAAAGTTTTGAAATGACGTTCTAATCAATGGTTCTGCTGCTGTGAGGAGCGTGTGACGAGCGTATATGACGGACAGGAGATGCAGTCCGTTCAATCTGAGACTATTATTCAAAAATGCAGCTTATAATACTTTCCTTTCTTGGAGACAGTTCGACTCGTGTTGACTTGTGCAGTTGGATGTATGTCGTCTCCATGCTTCTGTGTCAGCATTGCAATCCGATATTTTGTGAATACCACTGGTCTGTATTTGGTTCCCTGACCCAGCCGTGAACCCATATGTTCAGGAAAAAAACATACTTAAGATATCTTTAAGTTTATCTGAAACGTAAACGTCCTGGGAGTCACTATCTGAGCCTCTGGGCTGAGAGCTGATTGGCTGATGGGGGGTGGTCCTCACTTCACTTTTCTGTCTGAAAAATCTGATCCAAAGATGTGACGGGGGGGGACATTTATCAACATGTGTGACATTGGTCTCTGCCTATGGTCCAATACCATGTGTTTTATATTCTGAGTTTTAACTGTGTGATTCTCTGATCTGAGGGAGGACCAGAGGGAGGGAGGACCAGAGGGAGGGAGGACCAGAGATACTTCTACATAAACTCAATCAAGAGGCATTTTTACAATTAAAAAATACTGAAAAAAGTAAAAAATAGTTCCAGTCAAACTTATGATTTTGATTTGCTCGTTTGACGAGGTTTGGGATCACTTCACTGAAAATGTTAAAGTGGATTCTGTTTGGAGACGTGCGGCTCGTGCAGCTTCCTGCCTCCTCCACATCCGCCTCAGACGCTGCATCTGTGTTTGTGGTTTTGACGCTTCTCCTTTTTATCACTTTCTCTTTTATAGAGCAACTATTTTACCAGATTTACACAGCTGTCTCTGGTCTGTAAACACACAGACCAGAGTCGGCTCAATGTGCGGTGAATCCGCGCTGTGAAGATCATGCTGCAGCATTTGGCATAGTACCTCTGCGTCGTCAGTCTTAATACGGATCAAGCTGACATGTAATGTATGGGTTAGCCTTAAGTCTGGCTAGTATCCGCCTCTCCTGCAGCGCACTAAAGTCTTCCTCCGGCGTGTGTCAGCAGGAGGAGGTCGCAGTGATAGATACTGTGTTTATTTAATTACCATTTCTTGCTAAATAATCATGTTAAAAAGTTCAATGGAGTTTCAAAATTGCTTACAACTGTACTTTAAACAGCTTCCGAAAGCATAAATGCACAGATAAGCACCAATGTACCGTACATAGATAGTACTGTTAGATCATAGTTATGACATCCTAGGCCAACTCGACTGAACATAGAAACCATACGCTTTCTTCTGCACAGTCATGCTTCCAAAGTCTATGTTTACATCATCATTAAAGGTGTATATAAGGAGCCATCCTTCACCGTGACAGACTTCTGCACGCTCGAACTTTCTGACAATAAGTCTCTTTTTGTCTTATGTCTGGGAAATTCACAATACACAACAGAGAAATGCAGCGGTATCGAGAGCTCAGGGCTGCAGAACGTTTTATGTATGTTTTATGAGCCTTTCCACTAAAACACTGTCTCTTGTTTCCCACTAGACTGGTAATGGAACCATAGCTGGAATATTGTTGGAAAACTCCTCAAACCATGTTCTCTGGGGGTCATTGCAAAGCGGCATTCTCTGTGTCATATCCGACCGACGTGTTGAAGGCAGCGGCGGCGACAGTTGCACCTAGCCTCACACCTGTCCTGGCTAACACCTCACTCAGTCAGCTTCACAGAATGGTGGAGTGCGTTCAGCCCATGAATCCTCAAGATCTCCAACAGAACCAGCCTTGTGGACAGCTGACTGTGAGACCGAGGGGTGGGGTCTGTGGCCCCATAAGTACCACTGACTTTCAGAAAACGAGTCCTATCCTGATGGGAATGTTAACTAGAACTAAAGACTCAGTACCTCCTAAAACAACTTCACAGGCCTCTGGAAAAAGGCCATACCTGGACGACGATGAAATACTTCGTCGGATTAATGAGAAGCTTGCAATATTCAAAGCTAGAATGCTGGAGTTGAGCAAGCCTTCAAGAACACCTCAGACCTCCAAAACCTCACAAACCTCAGCACCTGCTTCTCCTGAGAATGCTGAGGTCTGTGATCTTGAGGCCACGCAGGCCAACAAGCTTGCACTATTCAAATCCAGAATGCAGAAGCTGAGGGAGGGATCCTTTTCAAACAAGCCATTGAACAGTTCACCTCAGACTTCATCTACCTCCCAAACCTCCACTCCGGCCCCTGGTGTGCATCCACAGAATCCTGAGGTCGGGTCCCTCAGGGTTCCAACTGAAAAGCCGGAGTCACGTTGCATCCGACCAGAGCGGCCACAGGGGAAGATCACTCAAACAAAAAAGAATTCTGCAGGTAAACATCTTTCATGATTCCATTCATTCTCACTCTAAAGACTTGTGTGCAGCTGACAGATTACATAACATCTAAAGGGCTAAAGGACAAATACTGTCTCAGATGTTAAGGATACTAGCAATATTCGGTATTCTTTAATAGCATTAAGAGACTTGATCTGTAGTTTGGAGAAGGTAGAAACTGCTCATAAGGAAATTTGTGTTGATGACATTGAGAAAAAATTGGAATGGAAACTTGGATAATGTTCTTTTTTTACATCCACAGAGTATGGTCAAACATTGAAAGAGGATGAAGATAGTCCCATGGTTCTCCAGGCCCTGTCTGGTACAGCGGTCTCAGAACCTGTTAAAGAGAACCCGAGAATCATCGTGCCTCGCTCTCCAGCTGATCATGAATGCACTTTGGTGGGAAGAAGTTACAACAGCCATCAGAACATCTGCACAGCGGTTGACCCGTTGAGCAGAGTGGACTGTGTACCTGCAGTTGCAGAGTCTACATTAGGCAAAACACCGGAAAGAAAAGCTCCGAAGGCTTCAGACCGGCTGCCAACTGTTCCAGACGCATGGACTGCTTTTGAAACCTCCGAGCCTCATGCCATATCCCGTGCAGGTCATGGAAATCTACTGCTGAACTTAAGCCAAACTAGACCTGATGTTACATTCCCAGTTGGAAGCTTCCAGAAAGTGCCTGAACCAGAAGAGCAGGAGCGCACTGAGGACCTGCAAAAGGATCAGGCTGAAGTGCGTACTGAAATGGAACCACCTCCTTCGGAAAGTGAGAGTTTCCTCAAAGATCCTCAGTATGAAGACTTGACGGACTATGAAGAGGTGGATGCAACAGAGATACCACCTGCGCAGGATGTTCATATCGGGGCAAAGGGGCAGTCTCTCTGTCAAATGACTGTAAACTGCAACGCACTGTTGAGTGTTTCAACAACAGTGCTAACTGAAACACCAGCACAGCAGGAACCACACAGACCACTGGTTTGCACTTGTCCATACTTTGTAGAAACTGATGATAGTTTCGAACAAGTCCCATGTCCAAAATGTGAAGAAAATGTACAATTTATGAAACGAGAAGTAGATTCTGAGGATGACTCAGACTCAGATGAGCTGATTCTATTCGTGACGAAATTGGATATCAAAGAAGAGGTAGTTTGTGAGGACTCTTCTGAATCAGAAGAAACAGAAGAGCCTCAGGATTCCATTTCAAAACAACATGAAAGTACCGTCTTTCAGAGAGTGGAAGAGTTTGACACATTCGATAGCTTTTATAGGCTAATTGGAAAACGGCTTGTTAAGAACCTACCAAATCCTGCTGGAAACAATGACCCTCCCACGGAACCTGGGGCAGCGACTGACAACTTGTCGAACGCAGAGGACGATGTTCCCCACAGAGACAATTTTGACTTATTCAAACCTTCGGCTGTTGAGGCGTCTGAGCAGGTGATGCCGCATTGCAGTTCACAGAATAATATTGGCTTGTTTTCTCCCAATCCTGCATTTGCTACTTCACCACCTTTAAGTATTTTTGAAAAGTTTTTGCCTTTACCTGGGCCAAGCCATCGCCCTGAGGCAGAAGACTGCTATGACACTCTCGATTACCCCTCACAAACACAACCCAAAGATTTGACCGCATCTAATAGAGTAAGATCCTCATCCTTGCTGTCGCCAAGAGATGAGCTGCCAGAGTCGAACAGACTTAAATGGTTCCCTGAAACATCAGATGAGGAGGGAGAAAAGAATGTGGAACACAGAGTGGTAAAAGATTCCACTGTTATGCCCAAAACAGCCAGACCAGTCAAAAGTGTAGAGTCTGACATGTCTAAAACATGCAAGAAGGCCAAGTTCAAATCACGCCGCATCATTTACAGTGATTCAGAATCTGAGGACGATGAAGGTATGACGAATACAGAGGTCTCCACTCAGCCACTGACGCAAACTCTCAAACTGACGACTAAACCAAGGACATCAGAAAAACCAGCAGGATTGGGAACCACAGGATCACGCTGCGTCTCTAAGTCGGGCTCTGAGGAGGATGATTTAAGTAAAAAAACAGGTCAATCAGAGACGTGCCCCAAGCCTAATAAATACATTAGATCACGTTTGGCACGTATACAATCCTTAAAACCTCAAAGGATGTGTCAAGCAAATCGAGATGATGATGATGAAGAGCAGATCACAAGACTTGTTTTGAGCCAACCAAGGACCCGAAAGCCTCTGCATCTAGAACAACCTTCAAACAAAAGACCGCGCGCGACAACCAATGACTGCACAAATGTCAAACAGCTGAAGAGAAGTTTCTCTGATTCAGGATGTGCAGGACAAACTATGGCAAGGAAAACTCAGTCTGTCGTCAACACGCCACAACCACGGCCGAATGCTCTTCCCACGCCGGAAACAAATGCTCAGAATGCCTCCAGAAGACTAAAGTTGAAAGACCTGTTAAGTACAAGAAGTTATTCATTGCCCGACCAAAGCTTTAGCGAGCCGCTTGAAGTCAGACCGGGTTCTGCGACTGAGGCCCTGTCCTCAGGAGGTCAACATTCTGCATCAAGTCTCCCTCGACGGAACTCTGCGGGACAAACTCCAGACTCTCTGCAGACTCAACGTCGACAGAGCAAAACCCAGGTCAGAGCGACTCCAAGCTTGAACGCTCCAGCAGCACAGGGGCTGAATCCCCCGCCACCTCACACCTCGCTGACCAGCGCAAAAAAAGTCAACTCGTACAGCATAGTGGGGTCCACGTCGGCCAAGAAAAGCCTTGTACAGAGTTGGGCACATAATTTTGTCCCAATTCCTGTCAACAGACGTCGAAGTAGCAGCGAAGCAGCTCACCTCAAAGACCACGACTCAAAGAGACTCAAACTAAATCCAAAACAAAGGCAGAAACACCCGTCCCAAGAACTGCTGCCGCCACTGATGAAGAAGACCATCCTGGAAGCCAAGCAGCTGACGAGCGCCGCCCACCGCAAAGACCAGCCTCCCAGTGTGTGTTGTTAGAATTCTGATTCTTTCAAATCTCTGTTAATCTGCTGCTTTAAGTATTCCAATGTCAATCATTTCAATGCCATGAATATTCTTGATTCTAATTCTAGATCGATCAGCCCCGAGGTGAGGGCTACAAGTGGAAAGACAGGTCGTCACAAGAACACACTTCTGAAGGTAAGTGCTTAGTGCTTAGACATAAGTGCTTAGTGCTTAGACATAAGTGCTTAGTGCTCACATAATAGGATTGGTCCTTATTCTCATGAATCTGATGCTGGCCACAGCTCCTGCTGAAGAAACAGAAACTAGTCTTTGGACAGTTCATGTTATAAATCTGAAAGGCTGACTAAAGCAGTTTGAGTTAGTGCCATACAAATAAAGTGTCACCTCTTTAGCAAATTCTTTTATAATGATCTTTATGTTGATGTGTGTTTGGGTCTGGGTGTCGGCTCACTGTGTTTCCTCTGTTGCCTCTAGAGGAGTTCTGGTTTCAGTCGCTGTTTGCCCTTTGACCTTTGGGGTTGCTAATAATGCTAACGCTAGCTCTTGTTGCAGATTGGCTGGAGCAGATGTATGGCGAGCGCTACCATAGACCCCACTACTGACCTGATCTCCAGCTCTTAATATCAAAGTATTTTAAGTGCCTTGAACCTTTTATCAGTTTTATTTGTTACTGCCCTGTGTTCATGACGGGCAGTGCCCACAGTGTACTTTTATAAATAAATGTTTTATGTCCATTTCCTGAACGTGACGATTGGACTGTCTCCAGCAGACGGCTCAGATCAAACCCAAATTATATCATACACCTGGTCCCAGTTCAAACAGGGAACCAGGTGAGTCCAGTGTCTGGATCTGGCCTGCTCCAGGATCACTGCAACAAGTGACCTTTGACCCCTCTGACCCTGACCTTTTGACCCTTCTCGACTGTGGATCATGTGACATCAGTGGAAGATGATTTTTGTACGACTTAATTTAAGTCTGCAGAATGCATTTACTAACCTGGCATGGACTTAGAAGCATGGCTAACCCTCTAATGCCGCTTTTCCACAGGCCTAGTACGGTACGTTTTGGCCCAGTTCGCGTGCTTTTCCATCAAAAATAGTATGTCCTCAGCGTTGTCAGACCACGTCGTTCACGTGTGACGCGTAACTAGTACTGGTGCGGTGCATGGATTTCTTATAATACCAGAGCAAGTGTTTAATAGAAAGTTCAGCACAGCACGAGTAGTTTTTGAAAATGCTTATGTCTTAAAAGAATGACTCAGACACTGTGAAGTCAATGGTGCTGTCCATCTGAATGGATTCCAAAGCTATTACTGTAGTAGTAGTAGTAGTAGTCTTTATTTATATACCGCCTTTTCACTGCAGATCTGAGTCTCAAAGCGGTTTACAATTGTTTATTTTGGGCATTTGTCTCTCACTCCACACAGAGATGGGAGGGGCCAGTACAGGAGGCGCATGCCAGACATGCCTATTGGACATATTTTTAGTGGTAGGGGAAACCGGAGTACCCGGAGGAAACCTACGCAGACACGGGGAGAACATGCAAACTCCACTCAGAAAGGCCCTGGTCCGACCGGGATTCGAACCCAGGACCTTCTTGCTGAGAGGCGAGAGTGCTAACCACTCAGCCCCCGTGCCGCCCACTACACTTAACACATCTATCACTGCCATCAGAGGAGGATCCAGAGTTTAAACTCGTCATATGGCAACTTGAGCAGTAAAGGACCGAGGGAGAGACAGCGGCAGCCATAGGGGTAGCGAGTTAGCGGCTAGGCTAAGCTAGTCCGGACTCGGGTCCGGACTACAGCAGACTCCAAGACCAGACAATCAATACCCAAACCTCAGATACAATAATAATAAATGAATGAAACACAATCTTGATACAATCACAGATTTATTGAAAACAAAAGTAAAACCAATAGTTTACAAAGTCAAAAGTACGTATGTGTGAGACCAGGTCCAGACCAGGTTCAGGCCAGGTCCAGATGAGGAGAATACTCCGGTCACTCATTACTCGTTGGTAATCTCCACACTTATGGAAAGGGATTCTCAAACAAATATACACACAACAACTTAAATACAAGCACAAAACAGAAACACGTGAATACTGCAGATAATACGAGATAAAGCACAGTAGCACAGGACGTTAGCTTAGCTGCTATCGATAGCTAAATGAAGCTAAATGTAGCTAGCTCACTGTGTACAACAGACAATCGAGCATTTACACAGTAAATACATTTTAGTGAGAGCTTTAGGTGGTTCGTATCTAACCAGTTATTTCAGGATTACCACAGACTAGTCACAAATCCAGAGCAATCTCCTGAAAACTGTGATGAGCCTCGAGCTGCCTTTGGATTCTTTCTTTGGCCTGAAGAGAGGAACGTGTGGACCTCTTCCACCGACCAGGACCAGGACTTTTGGGGCTTTCTGTGCAATTCCATTTCTCTGGAGTGAGGAGGACGTAATGTAGCCGAAGCAGAGCCGAGCAGAGCAGCCTGTTTTAAAGATGGCGGTTGAGTTGTTTTTCCCAAAGGGTCAGAGGTCGCTTCCAGTGACGACACTCGTTGACCAATCAGTGTAAGGCAGTGGGCCGACGTGACGTCATGGCACGGGTACTATGGGGATGGAACCACGGCTGACGCAGTACGGAAAAGTACTCAAATCTCCCATTCCATCCACTAGTGGAAACACAAAATAACCGTGCTGAAGCGTACTGTACTGTGGAAAAGGGGCATAAGTCCCCTCAGAGCTTCAGTGACAGAAGCTTAAAGACTCTCCTCCACAAACCAACGACCTCATTATGTCAAAGAGAAGACCTGGAGTCAGACCTCATTATGTCAAAGAGAAGACCTGGAGTCAGACCTCATTATGTCGAAGAGAAGACCTGGAGTCAGACCTCATTATGTCGAAGAGAAGACCTGGAGTCAGACCTCATTATGTCGAAGAGAAGACCTGGAGTCAGACCTCATTATGTCAAAGAGAAGACCTGGAGTCAGACCTCATTATGTCGAAGAGAAGACCTGGAGTCAGACGCTTCCAGACCTCAATAAAAGTGCTGGCACTAGACCAGTAGCAGCACTTTAGAATCTGAATGGTTCCTGTTGCAGATCCAAAGGGCCTCAGGTCATTTTGACAACTTTAGTTTAGATCACAACAATCATCTCTGAAGAGCAGGAGCCATTCTGTGAGAACCATCAATGTCCTGGACCTCGGCCTGGACCTCAGAGACCCACAGGAAACTGCCCCATGGACGGACCCAGGACTGAAGATCTGAGGTCTTTCTCTGAACTGGTTTGGTCCCAAGACCCCAGATTACACTACACTACACCAGTATTTAGGAGCCAGCAGACTCTGGCCAATCACAGTTAGAGCACTTTAGTACCAGCTCCACCTGGATAGAACTGGGACCAAGAGGGACTAAAGAAGGACCTGTTACCAGAGGCGACGGTGCAGAGCGGGTTTACAACAAGAGGAAGATCAAATTTGAGACGTACTCATTCAGAGTCGTGCTGAAACTGAAGTGAAAGAGCAGATCAGATATCAAACCTGTCGTAAGGCTGAGCTGCTGCAGCTGTCAAAAGCCGTGCATACTGTAATAAGTAAGTAATCTTTTATTTATATACCGCCTTTTCACTGCACATCAAAGTCTCAAAGCGGTTTACAATTGTTATTTTTGGGAGTGGGGCCAGTACAGGAGGCACAGACCTATTGTACATATTTTTAGTGGTAGGGGAAAACCGGAGCACCCGGAGGAAACCTACGCAGACACAGGGAGAACATGCAAACTCCACTCAGAAAGGCCCTGGTCCAACCGGGATTCGAACCCAGGACCTTCTTGCTGAGAGGCGAGAGTGCTATCCACTCAGCCACCGTGCCGCCCTGTAAAATACAACTGAAGAAGACAGAAGGGCAGGATGAGTAAAGAAGACGAGAGAGAGAGAGAGACCAAAGAGAGAGAGAGAGAGACTGAGACCAGAGAGAGAGCAAAGGGAGAGAGGGGCAAAAGAGACACCAGGGAGAGAGATGAAAGAGACTAGTCCTGTGACGACTGATGTTAAAAAGTAAAAATGACAAAAATAAACGACACATGAAAAGTTGAGAGGCCTCAGGTCCATGTGTCACATACCATGTGTACCAACCAGGTGAAGTGACTTTGATCAGTCCATTCAAATAAACTCCCGATGAATGAATGGTATGTACAGTGTTGTGCCAATCACAACTTTTCTTAACTAGTTTTCGGCGGAGAATACAGGAGGGAGGAACTTTCTCTCGTTGCGTTTCAAAAGAGAAAACAAATTCCAACGTTCATAGTGATGTCTGCCGTTCATGACACATAAATGAACTAATTCACGTTCAAGTTCTTTAATAAAAAATTTGTTCACGAGAAAAAATAACGTTTTCAATGAACGCGTTCTTTTGAACTCGTTCACGCACAACACTGTATATGTACAGCAGTTCTCGTTGTGCAGTCTGACAGCAGAACCGCCTCACTGTGGGGGTGGATCAGGCTGTCACTGAAGCTGCCCTCGGTACACACCATTTCAACCATTTGTAGGTTTATGGTCTCAGAAACGTCTCAGCTGCTGGACCATCGTGTGCAATAACAACCAGAATGTAAGAGACAGGAAGTGAGCCGAGAAACAGGAAGTGTGCAGAGAGACAGGAAGTGTGCAGAGAGACAGGAAGCATGAGCAACAAAGCGTAAAGAAGCGTCTTGAACCAGGCTCTCACACCAGGTGACCATACCATATGTGATCAGGCTCTCACTCCAGGTGACCGTACCATATGTGATCAGGTGACCGTACCATATGTGATCAGGTGACTGTACCATATGTGATGAGGTGACCCTACCATATGTGATCAGGTGACCCTACCATATGTGATCCGGTGACCGTACCATTTGTGATCAGGTGAATGACCATATGTGACCAGGTGACCGTACCATATGTGATCAGGTGACCGTACCATATGTGACCAGGTGACCCTACCATATGTGATCAGGTGACCGTAACATATGTGACCAGGTGACCGTACCATATGTGATCAGGTGACTGTACCATATGTGATCAGGTGACCCTACCATATGTGATCAGGTGACCGTACCATATGTGACCAGGTGAGTCTACCATATTTGATCAGGTGACCGTACCATATGTGACCAGGTGAGTCTACCATATGTGATCAGGTGACCATACCATATGTGATCAGGTGACCGTACCATATGTGATCAGGTGACCCTACCATTTGTGACCAGGTGACTCTACCATTTGTGATCAAGTGACTCTACCATTTGTGATCAGGTGACCGTACCATATGTGACCAGGTGACAACCATTTGTGATTAGGTGACTGTACCATATGTGACCCTACGATATGTGATCAGGTGACCGTACCATATGTGATCAGCTGACCCTACCATTTGTGATCAGGTGACCGTACCATATGTGACCAGGTGAGTCTACCATATGTGACCGTACCATATGTGATCAGGTGACCGTACCATATGTGACCAGGTGACCGTACCATATGTGATCAGGTGACTGTACTATATGTGACCAGGTGACCGTACCATATGTGACCAGGTGACCCTACCATATGTGACGA